CTTAGTATATATTCTATAGTTACCTTTGTATGCACAAAAGACATTAAAGAAACACTTCCAGGTACACTAAAACATCTTTAACAATAATACAGGAAGAAGACCTGGCAGTCTACTTCTGAAAAAAATTAGCCAGTGAATATCTTATGAATAGCAGCTGAACACTGATACAGTGCTGGAAGATGAGCCCCTCAGTTTAGAAGGCACTCAAAAGATGACTGAGGAAAAACTGCCTCCTCAAAGTAGAGTCGACCTTAATTATGCGGATGGAGTTAAGCCTTCAGGACCTTCATTTGCTGATGTGGCATGACTCAAAAGGAGAAGAAACAGCTGAAAACATCCATTAAAAATGGGAATGTGAAATGTACAAAGTATGACTCTAGGAAAATTGGAGATCGTCCAAAATGAAATGGAACGCATAAACATCCATATCCTAGGCATTAGTGCGCTGAAATGGGCTGGTATTGGCCATTTCGAATCAGACAATTATATGGCCAACTATACCAGGAAAGACAAACTGAAGAAGAACGGCATAGCATTCATTGTCAAAAAGAACATTTGAAGATCTACCCTGAAGTACAATGCTATCAGTGATAGGATAATATCCATACGCTTACAAGGAAGACCAGTTAATATGACTATTATTCAAATTTATGCACCAACCACTAAGGCCAAATATGAAGACACAGAAGATTTTTACCAACTTGAGCAGTCTGAAATTGATCAAGCATGCAACCAAGACGCATTGATAATTACTGGTAATTGGAATGCAGAAGTTGGAAACAAAGAAAAAGGATCAGTAGTTGGAAAATATGGCCTTGGTGATAGAAATGATACCAGAGGTCACATGACAGAATTTTGCCAGACCAATGACTTCATTGCAAATATCTTTTTTCAACAACATAACAACATAAACGGCGACTATACATGTAGACCTCACCAGATGGAATACACAAGAATAAAATTGACTACATCTGTGGAAAGAGATGATGGAAAAGCTCAATATCATCAGTCAGAACAAGGCCAGGGGTCGACTGTGGAACAGACATCAATTGCTCATATGCAAGTTGAAGCTGAAGCTGAAGAAAATTAGAACAAGTCCATGAGAGCCAAAGCACGACCTTGAGTACTTTAGAGACCTGAATTTAGAGACCATCAAGAATAGATTTGACGCGTTGAATACTGATAACAGAAAACCAGATGAGTTGTGGAATGACATCAAGAACATCATACATGAAGAAAGCAAGAGGTCATTAAAAAGATAGGAAAGAAAGAAAAGACCAAAATGAATGTCAGAAGAGATCTGAAAGTTGCTCTTGAACATCCAGTAGCCAAAGCGAACGGAAGAAGTGATGAAGTAAAAAAGCTGACTAGAAGATTTCAAAGGGCGTCTCGAGAAGACAAAGTAAAGTATTATAATGACATGTTCAAAGACCTGGAGTTAGAAAACCAAAAGAGAAGAACACGCTCGGCATTTCTCAAGCTGAAAGAACTGAAGAAAAAATTCACGCCTTGATTTGCAATATTGAAGGATTCAGTGGGGAAAATATTGAACGACACGGGAAGCATCAAAAGAACATGGAAGGAATACACAGAGTCACTGTACCAAAAAGAACTGGCTGATGTTCAACTACTTCAGGAGGTAGCATATGATCAAGAACCGATACTACTGAAGGAGGAAGTCCAAGATGCACTGAAGGCATTGGCGAAAAACAGGGCTCCAGGAATTGATGGAATACCAATGGAAATGTTTCAACAAACGGATGCAGCGCTCTAAGTATTTACTCATCTAAGCCAAGAAATTTGGAGGAGAGCTACCTGGCCAACCGACTGGATGAGATCCATATTTATGCCTATTCCCAAAAAGGTGATCCAACAGAATGTGGAAATTATCCAACAATATCATTAATATCACACGCAAGTAAAATTTTGCTGAAGATCATTCAAAAGCGATTGCAGCAGTATAGTACATGGACAGGGAACTGCCAGAAATTCAAGCTGGATTCTCAAGAGGATGTGGAACCAGGGATATCACTGGTGACGTCAGATGGATCCTGGCTGGAAGCAGAGAATACCAGAAAGATGTTTACCTGTGTTTTATTGACTATGCAAAGGCATTCAACTGTGTGGATCGTAACAAATTATGGATAACATTGTGAAAAATGGGAATTCCAGAACCCTTAATTGTACTCATGAGGAACCTGTATATAGATCAATAGGCAGTCGTTTGATAAGAACAAGGGGATACTGCATGGTTTAAAGTCCGGAAAGGTGTCAGGGTTGTATCCTTTCACCATATCTATTCAATCTGTATGCTGAGCAAATAATCCAAGAACCTGGAGTATATGAAGACAGGGACATCAGGATTGGAGGAAGACTCATTAATAATCTGTGTTATGCAGATGACACAACCTTGCTTGCTGAAAGTGAAAGGACTTGAAGCAGTTACTGATGAAGATCAACGACTACAGCCTTCAGTGTGGATTACACCTCAACATAAAGAAAACAAAAATCCTTACAACTGGACCAATAAGCAACATCATGATAAATAGAGAAAAGATTGAAGCTGTCAAGGATTTTATTTTACCTGGATCCACAATCAACGCCCATGGAAGCAGCAGTCAAGAAATCAACTGCGCATTGCATTGGGTAAATGTGCTGCAAAAGACCTCTTTGAAGTGTTAAAAAGCAAAATGTCACTTTAAGGACTAAGGTGTGCCTGACCCAAGGCATGGTGTTTTCAATTACCTTATATGCATGTGACAGCTGGACAATGAATAAGGAAGACAGAAGAAGAACTGATGCCTTTGAGTTGTGGTGTTAGGGAAGAATATTGAATATACCATGGACGGCCAAAAGAACAATCTGTCTTGGAATAAGTAAGCCATAATTCTCCTTATAAGCGAGGATGACGAGGCTTCGTCTCGCATACTTTGGACATGTTATCAGGAGGGACCAGTTCCTGGAGAAGGACAGCATGCTTGGTAAAGCAGAGGTCAGCAAAAAAGACAAACACCCTCAACGAGATGGACTGACACTGGCCGCAACAATGGGCTCAAGCATAACAACAATCATGAGGATGGCGCAGGACCGGGCAGTGTTTCATTCTTTTGTACGTAGGGTCACTATGAGTCAGAACCAATTCAGTGGCACTAACAACAACAACAACACATCGTTTCATTTCTTAACTGATGCTTCCATCGTCGATGACTGTGTAATCAAATAAAACGAAATCCTTGACAACTTCAATATTTTATCTGTTTATTATGATGTTGCTTACTGGTCAAGTTGCGGGGATTTTTTGTGTCTTTGTGTTGAGGAGTAATCCAGAAGAACAAACACATCTGTCTTGGAAGAAGTATAGCCAGAATGCTCCTTAGAAGCAAGGATGGTGAGAATTTGTCTCACGTGCTTTGGACGTGTTATTAGGAGGGACCAGTCCCTGGAGAAGGACATTATGCTTGATAGAGGTTCAGCGCTAAAGAGGGAGACCCTCAATAAGATGGACTGACACAGTGGCTGCAACAATAGGCTCAAACATAGCAACGATTGTGAGGATGGCCCAGGACCAAGTTCTGTTGTACATACGGTCGCTATGCATTGGAACTAATTCGATGGCACCTAACAACAATGAGAACATAATATATAAATACATATCACACACACAGAATTATAAAACAAATATGGCAAAATGTTAAGCATTGGTGAATCTGGATAAAGAGCAATACTATTATTATTAGGATTTTTCTAAAGTTTGAAATTATTGGAAAATAAATTTTTAAAAAAAAAAACAGTAATAATGAATTATAGAAACTTTTGAAAAGTCAAAGACAAAAGGAAGCCTAATGGGAAGACTGGACTCTAAGACCTCAGTGAGAACTGCTCAAGCACTATAACATATAACCTTTAAGGAAAGTTTTCAAGAAATGAAAAAAAAAAAGTTGACTTCTCTGAACAGAGCTTTTTACAGCTTGTTATATCCATTAATGAAGAAAGTAAGAGCTTCGATTTAGAAAGAGAAAACCTAAGTTTGTGGACTAGGTCTCATTGGTTTGTTATATATCCTCCCTAGGCATCACCATTTCTCATCTGCAAAAAGTGGATCATGCTAACCTTAGGGAGGGCTCTTTTGTTCAATACTTACCATAATGTGTGTGAGATGTCTTTTAACCGTAAGTTATACAAATGACATTACACTTAATAGGAACTTACCAAGATAAAGAATCGAGTTCATTTTTTTAAGTACCAAAAACCAAACCAAACTCGCTGCTGTCCAGTCGATTTCGAGTCATAGACAACCCTACAGGACACAGTAGAACTGCCCCCCGGAGTTCCGAAAGCTGTAAATCTTTACAAAAGCAGACTGCCACGTATTTCTCCCAAAGCGGCTGGTTGGTTCCAATCACCGACCTTTCAGTTAGCGGCCCAGCTCTTAACCACTGCGCCACCAAGGCTCCTTCTTTTAAAGTGCAAAACCCGTTGCTCCTTGAGTGGATTCCGACTCATAGTGACCCTATAGGACAGAGTAGAACTGTCCCATAGGGTTTCCAAGGAGCAGCTGGTGGATTGGAAGGCTGGTGGACTGGAACCGCGTGCGTTTTGGTTAGCAGCCGAGCTCTTAACCACTGCGCCACCAGGGCATTGATTGTAGTTACTGAAAAACAATGGAATAAAGCACAGAGGCGGAAACAGTTTAAGCACGGTAGGGATGTTTCCTCCCTGTGCTGTCAAGTTTATAAACATTTGAAATTTTAGAATCGCTTTAAACCCTTTCCTGAATTGGAAGTCGTTTTTCAGGCTGCGAAGTAACTAGCCCATCAGCTGAAATGTCCCATTTCTAAGGGAGCTGTTTCAACAGTCTGGTTGCGGGTCTTCGCAGCAGGGGACCGCAGACAGCTCCCGCAGGAGCCCGATGCTGCACGGCGGCTTCCCAACCTCGGCCGGGAGGCCTAGAAACCCCGGCGGGCCGCCCAGCAGAGCTTTCACGCATGCGCCCCCGGCGCAGCCTCTCCGGAGCTACCCGTCTCATTACGTCACTGCCAGCCTTGCTTGGGCGGCAACCGGCGGGAGTTTTTCAAAATGGGAGCGCGGAGGCGCTGCCCAGCCCTCGGAAGGTGTCTGGGAGACCTTTCGGTGGCTGTACCGTCGTCGCCTGGAGCGGCGGCCTAGAGAGCCGAGCCTGATGGGCGCCAAGACTGGCTGGCTGCTTGGAGCGCTGCCTCGAAGCGACTGCGTGAAGGGAGCTAATCCGGGGAGCACAGGCCGGGGCCTGGAAATATGGCGACCTGCATCGGGGAGAAGATCGAGGTAAAAAAAACTCGCCAGGCTGCCGCCGGGCGGGAGGGAGTCGGAGTAGCAAGACTCGAGACCGCTGCGGGAAGGCGTTCGGCCGACGCTAACGGCTGCGGGGCGGGCGCCGAGGTCCTTTGGGTGGGTCTCAACTGCTGGGGGCCCGGCCTTGGCCCTTGGGGCGGGCCCGGCTGTCTGGGGGCGGAGCGGCACTCCCCTCTGGGACGCGGGGGTAGCGGCGCAGGTGAGTCGCTCGCGGCCTCGCCCTCTGGCCCCAGCCCCGCGGCTTGGTGTCAGTGGTCCCGCCGGAGCTGCCGCGCTGGGGAAAGGCGAGGCTGTCTCCCCCTTCTCCAAGGGGGTGGCGGTTACCTCCGGCGGGCGCTGCGGCGGGATTCTGGCCCGGCCCTCGTCGCCTGGGGGTTGGCTGGAGGTGGGAGGAGGACGCTGAAGCTGCCCTGAGGTTGAGGTACCAGATCATTTATCTGTTCTATCTCAGCCCAGCTTAGAGGCTCGGGGAGTCCCGCAAGGAGGCAACATGCTTCCCACCCCAGGCACCTGTTCTATCGAGGTGTGATACCTGCTTGAATTTTGTCAGACTCCCCTTCTCGATCCATTTTATCTTTTCCCAGCCCCCTTCCCATCTTTTTTCCTTTCTACTCCTCTGAGTCATCACACATAATCTTTAATTTTAACTTTTAAGGATTTTAAAGTTGGAAATCTGCTCGGTAAGGGATCGTTTGCTGGTGTCTACAGAGCTCAGTCCATTCACACCGGTTTGGAAGTTGCAATCAAAATGGTAAGAATATATTAATCAACAACTCTCCTGTACTTTGCAAGTAACTGAAGATGTGTGCTGTTTGAGATGTCAGAAATTCCTTACCTATCAACTTTTTTTTTTTTATTATGGTTTGAAGAACTCATTGCTTAGGCAAAGAAGAACAGTCAAGTGCAGCAGTTGAGTTTAAGGACATCTCAGAAGAGCCTTAACCTTGATTAATTTAGTTATGTAGTGTGTAAGTGTTTTGTCTTCATTAATGTTAAGTTGACCTGCCGTCTGTTGTAATTATGTGTACAGGCAGTCCCAGCTTGGGAACGACTGACTTAGGTACAACCCATAGTTATGACCTAACCCCTGTAAAGCATATTATATTAAAAATTTGAGGGATGCATACAATGGTTAGTAACAACATATGGGTTCTACTTTTCAATATGCATCAAAACATTATTGTTATTATTTCTATATTAAATGTTTTAGTGTCACTGAAAGTGTTTCTTTAATGCTTTTTATGCATAGAAAGGTACACTATATACTGTATACCAAGACAAACATTTCACTAACGTTAGATACGAACTGTACCTAAGCATTTTAACCTACATACAAATTCGACTTAAAGACATACGTAGGAATGGAACTTGTTTGTAATCCTGGGACTGCCTGTACTTGGTGTAATTGGTAGAAACAAAGAACGAATAATAAGTAAGCATAAACTTGTGCATAGTTCTATACTATACATGGTAACAGAATTAATCCAAAATACTATTTTTAATTTTTAGAAGTCAGTCTAATAGGAGTAACATAAACATAAGCAAGTTGAGAATCATTTGTCTAAACCAGTCCGAAAGGGAGAGGAGGTTTTGTTTTAAAGTTCGGTTAAATTTGTTTTTTTCGTTGTTGTTGTTGTTCTTAGAGGTAGGATAGTTGTGCTGTTAAATTCTTTAAGTTGAAAGAGGGTATTATAATACACTGGGAAAACTTACTGAGTGTCCACTCTGTTAAGTACTACCGGATGCATGGAAAGATAAACAATAACTTGACCTCATAAAGAAGTAGATTAAAGTACTTGAGACTGACATTTTATTTTATTTATTTATTTATTGGAAACCCTGGTGGTGTAGTGGTTAAGAGTTCGGCTGCTAACCAAAAGGTTGGCAGTTCAGATCCACCAGGCGCTCCTTGGTAACCTTATCAGGCAACTCTACTCCGTTCTATAGGGTCACTATGAGTCGGAATCGACTCGATGACAACGGGGTTTTTTGGTTTTCATTGCTTATTTTTACTGTGCTTTAGATGAAAGTTTACAGCTCAAGTTAATTTCTCATTCACAAATTTATACACGTATTGTTTTGTGACATTAGTTGCAATCTAGTTAAATTAAAGTATATTTTTTCTTTTCAAGGTTGACTTTTTTAAAAATGATAATTACGGTGAAACCTGTGAGAGCCAGAGCTCGACGGGACTGCCTTGTTTTTCCAGGTTTCACAAGTTTTCCACCTTTGACAGGGTGCAGTCTTACCACTTTTCTGTTGTTCATTTTAGTGGAAAATATTTTAGTTTTCCTTCTCTGGCAGGTTTCTGCCTTACACAGGTTCCGGCTTTCACAGGTTTTACTGTATTATTACTTTCATCTTGATGAAAATCCTGTAAAAGAAGTATTCTTTCCATTTTACAGATTAGTTAACTGAGGCTTAGAGGAGTTAAGTTACTTGCCTAAGAACACATTTATTAAGTGGTGTATCCAGTACTTGGTATACTAGGCACCTCTGACAACAAAGTCCGTGTTTTTTTAATTATACCCTGATACTGCCCATCAGTTATCTACATTGATGCCACATCCATATTTTATAGTCTTAAGTGTTCTGGAGATACAAAGATAATGAGCAGGTCCCTAATTTCTTGGGACCTCATCTTCCCATCTGTAAAGTGGCTTCAGTAGATTGGTGCTTTTAAAACTTCTCTGTAGAACCTTTAAGCTCCACGAAACCTCTTCAGCATCAGAAAGGGTGAGAAAAGGGCGAGGGGGTTGTCAGAGGACCTAATCAGGTAGGACCCCACGTCTTCCACCTCTACTTCAAAGTTTTCTTTTTTCCGGTTTTATTCATTGGGATTCCAGGTAAGATTTTTTAATTAAAAAAATAGATAGATAAAATACATATAATTAAAAAATTGCATTTTAACTGTTTTTAAGTATATAATTCAGTGGCATTAATTATACTCAGTGTTGTGGAACCGTCACCACTATTTATTTCTAAAACGTTTTCTTCACCCCAAACAGAAACTCTACACCTCTCATCCCAGCCCCTGTTAACCCCTAATCTTTCTGTCTCTATACATTTGCCTATTCTAGACATTTCATGTAAGTGGGATACAGTGTTTGTCCTTTTGTGTCTGACTTATTTCACTTAGTATAATGTTTTCAGGATTCATCCATGTCTTAGCATGTATCAGAACTTCATTGCTCTTTTTTTGCCGAATAATATTCTCTCTCTCTCTCTCTGTGTATATATATATATACACACACACCACATTTTATTTATCTGTTCATCTGTTCATGGACACTTGGGTTGTTTCCACCTTTTGGCTATTATGAATAATGTTGCAAAGAACATTGATGTACAAGTATCTGTTTCAGTCCTTGCTTTCAAGTCTTGAGTATATACTTAGGAGTGGAATTACTGGAACATATGGTCAAAGTTGACTTTTGACACTTTACTTTTTAAAGTTTATCATCAATATTTAAACCCCTCATCTGTTATTTTTAGATCGATAAGAAAGCCATGTACAAAGCTGGAATGGTACAGAGAGTCCAAAATGAGGTGAAAATACATTGCCAATTGAAACATCCTTCTATCTTGGAGGTAAGGTGCACACTTTATAGAAGTTGCCAGGGAGACTGAATTTTTGTCTAATTTATTATGCCCTTTTACATTTCAGCTTTATAACTATTTTGAAGATAGCAATTATGTGTACCTGGTATTAGAAATGTGCCATAATGGAGAAATGAACAGGTATTTAAAGAACAGAATGAAACCCTTCTCAGAAAATGAAGGTAGGTTTTTTCTTTTTTTCTTTTTTTTTGGTAGTTATAAATTTGGCCCTTTAAATTGTAGTTTTGAAGAATGTACTATTGTGTAATCTTTAGGAAAACTGTTCAATTATTACTTCATGCTAGAAAAGGAGATTTTTCCACCCAGAATTACAAAAGCAGTTAATTCTTGCAAACAATTCAAGCAGTACAGAAGTAGAGTAAGAGGAGAAATTTGTTATCCTTCTATTATTCCTAAAACCACATGTTAAATTAAATCTTTGGTAGCAATTTAGTGTGCATCCTTTCACATCTAGAAGGAAGCTTTGTAGATGCTCTTGATGACTGTGAAGAACTTTTTAAATCAAGTACAAATAACAAAGCCATTTATTACAGAAAATATGAAATATATAAGTAGAGAAAGTAGTATAATGAGCTCCTATGAACCCATCACCCAGCTTTCAAAATTATTGACTTGTGGTCAAATTATTTTATCAGTACCCTTCTTGGAGCCCTGATGGCACAGTGGTTAATAGATCAGCTGCTAACCAAAAGATCAGCAGTTTGAATCTACCAGCCACTTCTTGGAAGCCCTGTGGGGCAGTTTTACTCTGTCCTGTAGGGTTGCTATGAGTTGGAATTGACTCGATGACAATGGGTTTGGTTTTGTTTTTTTAATACCCTTTTTATTCCCAGAGAATGCCCAGAGTATTTTGAAGCAAACCGTGGACATCATTTTATCTGTAAATATTACTATGTATTTTGAAAAGAAAAAGACTTTTAAAAACAGTATATCCACAAATTCATTATTACACCTAATAATTCTTTAATATCAAATATATAGTTTCAAAATCCTCCAATTTCTCATAAATAATTTTTTTACAGTTTGTGCAAAATCAAACAATGTCCATGCATTGTCACACAAATTATTGTTATCTTGCACTGCTAACTGAGCTTGCATGTAGGCTAAGAAAGGTGGTTGCTAGTGAGGCTTTATATGCATTTTAAATCTATATAACTCGTTTGGAAAACAATTTAGTCATATATATTAAGAGTTATGGAAACGTTCATGGCTTTTGACTAAAAAATTCCATTGTTGAAAATTTACTGTAAAGAAATAATACAAATTGGGGGGAGGGGGGGAGCCAGAGTCATGATTGATGATGATTACTGCACTTTTCATAATTCTTTATAATCCCAAAAAATTAGAAACAATTTAAATACCTAAGAATAAAAGAATTAGTAAATTATGGCATATCCTGTTGATGCAGCCATTACTAATTATGATGAGGACCATGATGAAACAGCATGGAGAATCCTTATGTGAAAAACAAAATTGAATGTAGATTATGAATTGAAAAAAAAAAACAAAACCCTGTTGCTGTCTAGTTGACTCCAACTCGTAGCGACCCTATAGGGCTGAGCAGAACTGCTCCATAGGGTTTCCAAGACTGTAATCTTTACAGAAGCAGATTGCACATCTTTCGTCTGTGGAGCAGCTGATGGGTTCATACTGCTAAACTTTTAGCTAGCAGCCAAGCGCTTAACCACTGCACCACCAGGGCTCCAGATTATAAACACAGTATGTAAAATAAAAAGTATGGAAAGAGAAAAGAGGAACTACCTGTTGCTATCAAGTTGATTCCAACTTACAGCAGCCCTATAGGACAGAGTAGGACTGCTGCATACGGTTTTCAAGGCTGTAATCTTTGCTGGTGGCTCAGTGGTTAAGAGATCGGCTGCTAACCAAAACGTCAGCAGTTTGAATCCACCAGCCGCTCCTTGGAAACCCTATGAAGCAGTTCTGCTGTGTCTCATAGGGTCGCTATGAGTCGGAATCAACTTGACGGCAACAGGTCTTTGGTGTTTTTCGTGTTTACAGAAGCAAACTGCTGCGTCTTTCTTCTGAGGAGCGGCTTGTTGGTTCAAACTGCCAACTTTTCTTTTCTGTTAGCGACCAAGTGCTTAACCACTGCTCCACCAGGGCTCCTACTCTATCAGCAGATTTTTAAAGCTATAGTAATTAAAATAGGTATAAGTAATAGAATGATGGAACAGAATAGAGGCCAGAAATTGATCTGTGTATAAATGGGAATTTCATATTTGATAAAGATAGCCATTTCAAGTCCATGGATGAAACTATTGAATGAATAGTGCTTGGCAAGTTGGCGTTATTTGGGAAAACATAAAACTAGTGTTGTTTTGTACAAAAGTGTGTCTACTTATTTATCAGATGGTGGCGCAGTGGTTAAGAGCTTGACTGCTAACCGAAAGGTCAGCAGTTCGAATCCACCAGCTACTCCTTGGAAACTCTATGGGGTAGTTCTACCCTGTCCTATAGGGTTGCTGTGAGTCAGAATGAACTTGATGACAACAGGTTTGGTTTTGGTTTTAGGTGCCAGTTGAAGGAGCCCTGGTGGCACTGTGGTTAAGTACTCGGCTGCTAACCAAAAGGTTAGTGGTTCGAACCCACCAGCTGTTTGTAGGAGAAAGATGTGGCAGTCTGCTTCTGTAACGATTACAGCCTTGGAAACCCCGTGGGGCAACTCTACTCTGTCCTATAGGGTTGCTATGAGTCGGAATCAACTCAAGGGCAGTGGGTTTAGTTGTTTGGTTTAAGTGCCAGTTGGAGTCTCTGGGTGGTGCAAATACTTAAGCGCTGTACTACTAGTGGAAAGGTTGGAGGTACGAACCCATCCAGAGGCTCATCGGAGGGCAGGCCTGACAATCTGCTTTCAAAAGGTCACAGCCTTTGGATAGCAGACACTTGTTAGTTTTGGTGATGGATGAGGCAGTACTGAATAAGGGTGAAGTCAGCACAACTTGACCAAGGTAAAAAATGACAGACACTAAGAAGTACGCAAGAATAAAAGACAATTTTAGTAAAAGCCACAACATATACAATTTTGCAACAACAGTAATAACCAAAAAGTGTGTGTGCTTACATAGGTAGATATGTATGTATATATGTATAGGTAAGCACATATGAATATACAAGTGTGCATGTATAGGTGTTTCTTTAGGCAAATGTATATACACGTTTGTGTGTGCTGCATATATACCAAAAAACCATTGCTGTGGAGTCATCAATTCTGACTCAGATACCCTATAGGACAGAGTAGAACTGCCCCATAGGGTTTCCACGGAGTGGCTGGTGGATTTGAACTGCTGACCTTTTGGTTAGCAGCCAAGCTCTTAACCACAGAACCACCAGGACTTCACTGTGTATACAGTCATATATAAAATAAAGCACATAGGGGGCACAGTTATGAATATATCCTAGACATAAGCACCTCTTGGGATTGGGTTATTGTGTTTGAGGGCTTTGGACCATAGTCTTGGGGGACAACTTGGTTAGTTAACATAACATAGCTCATAAACGTAATGTTCTACATCTTAGTTTAAGGAATAGCCTCTGGGGTCTTAAGCTTTTGTGAGTGGTTGTCCAAGATACAATTATTAGTCTCTACACATCTGGAGCAAAAGAGAAATAAGGAAACCAAAGACTCAAAGATAATAGTAGTCTGCAGGACTAATAGTCAACATGAACTATGGCCTCACCGACCTGACAGTGCCTGGCTACCACTACTGACTGTTCGAACCTGGGACATAATAGATGGTCCCGGATAGAACCGGAAAGAGATGTAGAACAAAACTCAGTTCCTAAAAAAGGCCAGACTTACTGGACCATTAGAGACAAACTATCACCCTGGGATACCCTTTAAACTTGGAACTCAAATCATTCCTGGAGGTCACCTATCAGCCAAAAGACAGAGTGGCTCATAAAATAAATAATATCACCCATGAGTACTATGCTCCTCTAAAGAATTATCTAAGTGAGACCTAATGGTTAACATTTACCCTGTACCAACGATGAGAAGGTAAGGGGGACAAGGAAGCTAAGTTAATGGAAATAATGAGAATGCTGACACATGTGAAAAGTGTAACTAATGTCACTGAATAATATGTATAGAAATTGTTAAATGAGAGCCTAATTTGCTATATAAATTTTCTCCAAAATCGCAATATAAAATCAAAAAAAAAAAAGGCACAGCCTTGAAAACCCTATGGATCACAATTCTGCTCTGACACATGGGGTCACCATGAGTCGGAATTGACTCTATGGCAACTACCAACAAGTGCCAGTTACCATGGCAAGTTCTAGGAATAAGTTATTATCTACACAGGTATCTCACTTTGTACCCTCCTAAAGTTTCTGTTAGTGGGAGAGATTCCCAGAAAATAAGTAGACAAGTGACATAGTTGCACATTCTAAGGGCTACAAAATAAATGAAAAAGAGTGAAATAATTGAGAAAAATCTATATAAGATAGTGTGAACAGGTAAAGCTTCTGAGGAGGTGACATGTAAACTGGGAGCGAAAGGGGAGAAAGAACGAGTCCTTGGCATGTGTAGAAGCCTTGAGGCACAAAAAGTGTGGCATACTCAGCTGAAGGAAGACCAGAGTGGCTGGAGCTTAGTGAGCAAGGGAGAATGCTACAGAGCTAGATTAGAGACATAAATAGGCATTAGAGTAGATCATGTTAAGGAATTTTTCCCCCATATACTTTTTACCTTTTTTTTTTTTTTTGTAAACTATAACATATATAAAGAAACAAAATAAGTTATTAAAATACCATCTAGGTCAAAAAATAGAACACTGCAGTGCCCCAGCAGCTCTCTATTTTAAAGGATTTCAGTTTTAACTGTGCCTTGGGAAACTTTTGTGAGTAATGATATTGTGTATAATTTATGTTTAAGAGGATTATTTTTGCTGTATGTGAAAATAGGAGGAGCAGTGAAAACAGGAAGACTTGTTAGGATCACTCAGAAATGAAGGTAGCTTGCACCAGGGTAGTGGCTGGACAAACGAAAAGAAGATATCGGATTCAGTATTTATTTTGAAATTAAAATTGAGTTGCCGAAGGAATAGACGTGATGTCTATGGAAAAGGAGGAATCAAGTATACTACCTAGGTTTCTAGATTGAGTAAATGAGTGATTGTGGTACTGCCATTGAATGAACTGGGGAGGTTTGGGGTAGCAGGTATGGTGGAGTTAAAAATTAAGAATCTGCTTAAGTCAAGTTAAATTTGAGCTGTATGAGACAGCTAAACGGAGATGTCAAGTACGCAGTTACATTTCTGAGTATGAAGTTCAGAAGAGAGATCTAGACTTCAAATTTACGAATCTCAAGCACAAACAGTATTTAAATCTATGTAACACAAGTATTAGAAGATAACATAGAAGATAGTGTCTGTAAGGTGTGGTAGAAAGGCCACCTTAAATAAGATAAATCTTAGGAAAGCTATAAGGGAAAAGAATTACCATTTTCATTTAATGAAAGTTAAAAAATTGTAAATGACAAAAGATATGGTCAACAAAGTTAAAAGACAAAAAATAGGAAGAAAATATTTGCAAGATATATAACTGGCAGATTATTGTTAAAAACATGTAATGTGTACATAAAAAGAAAAAGATAATCGAACAGAAAAATGGACAGGGAATATGAGGAGACTGTTTACAGAAAACAAAGTAAAAATGGCCAATAAACATGAAAAAATGCTCATAATTAGTAGTAATCATGGAATGCTGACTAAAATAATGAGGTACCATTTCTTTACTCATTGAATTGAGACTACCTAATGTTAATAAGGGCGTACCTGAAAAATACAGCCTTTTAGAGGGCAATTTGGCAAGGTATGAAAATACTAAATGTTCATATCCTTCAATCCAGTGATTCTGTTTCTTGATATACCATAAGACAACGCCCCACACATATGTACTAGAAAACAAGCATGTACAAGGATGTTTACTGCTATATTTTTGTAATCTTAAAATATAAAAAATGATGCAAGTGTTCAGCAATTAAATAAAATGGTCTGTGTGTACTGACATAGAAATAGCTCCAAGAAATATTGTAAAGTAGGAAAAAGTTATGCAACTATATATTTTTCATATGAGTTTTATATTTAAAGGGCATTTATTGCATTGTATTTCTGTAGATTTAAATGTATGTAAGCACATGGAAGAAAAGTATAAAAGGATACATAGAACTGGTAATGATTACTTTTTGGGGGGATTGGGAGTCATCAAACTTTAGCTTAATTGCTGTGGATTTCTGGTTACCCTAGTTACCCTAGCCACTCCAGTTGCTAATAGAATTAAACTTCCCCTGACTGTATATTGAAAATTCATCTGCTAGAAAGTGAAAGATTAAGAGAGGATCCTAGTCTTATTAAAGGGAATTAGAGAAAATTATGAAATTACCAGAGTAGTATTTTGGTTGATAAAACTAAGCTGCAAGCCAGCGTTCAGATATAATACTCTGGCTTGTGTACTCTGGGTTTCCTCATGTATTCTAAGTACTGAATCTCCCAGATTTTTTCAATGGCAACTTTTATTTTTTGTATCGTGACAGCTCGACACTTCATGCACCAGATCATCACAGGAATGTTGTATCTTCATTCTCATGGTATATTACATCGGGACCTCACACTTTCTAACCTCTTACTAACACGGAATATGAACATCAAGATCGCTGATTTTGGTCTGGCGACTCAGTTGAAAATGCCACATGAAAAGCATTATACATTATGTGGGACTCCTAATTACATTTCACCTGAAATTGCAACTCGGAGTGCACATGGACTTGAATCCGACGTTTGGTCCTTGGGCTGTATGTTTTATACCCTGCTTATCGGGAGACCACCTTTTGACACTGATACAGTCAAGAACACGTTAAATAAAGTAGTACTGGCAGATTATGAAATGCCGACTTTTTTGTCAAGAGAGGCCAAGGACCTTATTCACCAGTTACTTCGTAGAAATCCAGCAGATCGATTAAGTTTGTCTTCAGTATTGGACCATCCTTTTATGTCCCGAAATTCTTCAACAAAAAGTAAAGATTTGGGAACTGTAGAAGACTCAATTGATAGTGGACATGCCACAATTTCTACTGCAATTACAGCTTCTTCCAGTACCAGTATAAGTGGTAGTTTATTTGATAGGAGAAGACTTTTGATTGGTCAGCCACTCCCAAATAAAATGACTGTATTTCCAAAGAATAAAAATTCAAATGATTTTTCTTCTTTAGGAGATGGAAGTAGTTTTTATACTCAGTGGGGAAATCAAGAACAAGAAACTATGAATAGTGGAAGGGGGAGAATAATCCAAGATGCAGAAGAAAGGCCACATTCTCGATACCTTCGTAGAGCCCACTCCTCTGATAGATCAGACACTTCTAACAGTCAATCTCGAGCAAAAACATACACAATGGAACGATGTCACTCAGCAGAAATGCTTTCAAAATCTAAAAGATCAGGAGTAGATGAAAATGAAGAGAGAAACTCACCTACAAACAGCAATGTCAATATTTTTCATTTTAAAGAAAAGACATCCAATACTTCTGGATCTTTTGAAAGACCTGACAACGATCAAGCGCTGTAAGAATAATTCTAACGAAAGCGTTTTAATTTTTGGCAAACATTCTGTTAGCACAAATGTAAAGTTTAACTAAGGGCAGTTACCAGGGCAATGAATGCCTTTTTTCTAATACTCTCAGATGCTCCTGAGGTAATTCTCAACTATGATTCCCATTTCTTACTGAGAATCTAAATGATGATTTTCAATTGTGGTTGAAAATCTCTTTTAAACATACGTGTATGTGTTCACAGCATGTGTAATACTTGGAAATTTTAAGTTTCCTTGCATACATGTAAAGAGAGAGAAAGAAAAGCTGAGCCTGACTATTAATCATACAAGTGTTCTAGAATTTTCAGTTGTTTAAATCAGAAGAAAGAAATCTCCCTTTTCTAATATTTTTATTTTTAAAATTTACCTGATGATTTTTCATTAATTTGTGGGAATTTATTTTTTTGCATGTTTAGCTCCAATCATCTTTGTCCAAGAAAAGCTCCTTTTCCGTTTTCAGACCAGATATCTCAGACTGAAATGGTACAGCAGTGGTTTGGGAATATGCAACTAAATGGTGAGTTTTTAATAGAGTATTTTAGTCAAAAATTAGTGACTTGGACAGTTACCAAGCATTGCAGTTTTCTTAAGAAAATAACGTGTTTTCAATGAAGATATAATAGCAATAATCATTAACATATTTTGAATATTTACTGTAAGTCAGCCACTGTTCTTAATGCTTAAATATATTATTAACTTATTAAATTTTCACAAAAAACGTGTGGAAGATACTATCATTATCCCCATTTTTACAGATGAGGAAATATTGGTACCAAAACCAAAAAACCAAACCCGTTGCCATCGAGTCAGTTCTGACTCATAGTGACCCTATAGGACAGAGTAGAACTGCCCCCTTAGAGTTTCCATGGAGCACCTGGTGGATTCGATCTGCCAAGCCTTTTGATTAGCAGCCGTAGCACTTAACCATTACGCCACCAGGGTTTCCACATATTGGTACACAGAGCTTAATTTGCCCAAGCTGCACAGATGAGCCAGGATTCCAACCCAAGCGATCTGACTCAGGCTTTATTCTTAAACTCTGTTCTTGCATCCTCTCTGTAATAAACACCTATTCACAATACCTATAAACAATTGAAAGATGCTTGTAGAAGCTGATATGGACATCATGGTTTATTAATGGGACCTCACATATGCTAAATTATACTGCTACTAAAACAGCTGTCATCTAAGTCGTTTTATTTATGGATATAGAGTTTGAAGATTAAACATTTCTCATTAATGAGCATGTAGATTCACAGAAGGTGTGCTGAAAAATAATGAGGGAAAAAGGGAGAGAAAATAAAAAAGCATATGGGGAGGAGGAGATCATTTTTTTTTACTAAGTATTGTATTACCTCGTAGACAATGACTGTATAATATGACTGTAATTTAAGCAGAGAGTTGTTATGTCATCTCAAGAGTCTGTTCTTGTTTTCTTTTTAATATGTATTATTTTCAGGAGCCCAGAAGGGAATTAATCTTTCATATGTAGTTGTTGGGGTTGATAATTTATTTTTTTAAACTATAAAACTGCCATGGAATTAATCTTGCACTTAACCTTCTGTTATGTTTACAGATACTCTTATTTGGTGACATGGAGGTGTCTGAGATGGAAAGATATCTTTGTTTATAATAATCTAGTCTGCTACAACTTAAAAGTATACTTTTTGACATAAAGTATTTTTAATCATAATGAGAGTAAAAACACTAAAAAGTCATTTAAGGAAAAAAACTGTAATACAAATTTTATCATTTGAAAAGTTGTATTAGATTACATAATCATTTTAAGAGCTTTAAAAAAGATGTTCCCATGTGAACTCTAAATCATATAAACTATAAATTGGTAAAATTCAATTGGTTAAATTTTAGTAAGAAGAATTTTTTTAAATGTGGGTACAATTAGATTTGTAATGTTAAATATTAATAATACTAAAGCTATTTCATATGTTACAGTCTTTTTGCTTTTAGTCGCATATTTCCTAAGTAAAGGTCGCATAGACAGTCCTTACCGTAAAGATAGTAAATTTACATATTTTTCACATGTAGAATGATTACTTGGGAATTCCTCTCAAATCTGTTTTTGTTGGACCATTGGTAACTGCTTGTTTTAGAGTTAGTAGCTAATCCTAGGGTTACTAGTTTTTGCCTTAATTGAAAAAATAATATTATATTTATATCTTTCTTTCTTAGTCTTAAGAATATTAAAGGTATTCCTTCTAGATATGAGTTTAAAATGACACTATTAAGGTCACTTTTATTATATCTCAGACTGCTTATTTGTTAGAAAAATTATGAGCTCCTTTTTTTTTTTTAAACTAGATTTCTTTTGTTCCTTAAAAAAACTATTATACCAGCTTGTCATTGTTTTGTTTAGACTTGGCTCTTTATTCACTAAATTGCTTTATTGTATGTATATTATAGCTCATTTAAGAGAACCTGGTGAACATCATGGCATTAGTCCAAACAGAGATTTCCAGGGCCATCCAGATTTGCAGAAGGACACATCAAGAAATACCTGGACTGATAAAAGAGCCAGAAAGAACCCTGATGCATCTGATAATGCGCATTCTATAAAACAGCCGAATCCCATGAAATACATGCCTGCACCTCACAGTAAACCAGAGATAATTCAACAAGGGTCTGTTTTTGGCTATGATCCTCTTTCTGAACAAAGCAAGACTATGACTATGGAGCCACCATCAGGTTATCAGAAACAGACATTGCGAAGTGTTACATCTCCTTTGACTGCTCACAGGTTAAAGCCAATCAGACAGAAAACCAAAAAGGCTGTGGTATGCCTGTTATTTTTTTAAGTTATTATATGACATTTTTGTTTAGAATATGGTTTTTAGTATCAAACATAGTGGGTTTTGTTCCCTATAATGTCCCTATACTTTGGGGTGTGACCATGATGAACTCATTGAAAGAGAAAAGAAACGGTATGTATGGGAAAATAGCTCTTGTTTCCCTCTGACTACTTTAAGAATGGTGAACTGATACTGTTTTGAATTTTAAATTATTGATAACAAAATACATATATTAAAATATTAGCTATAGTGTTAAATATTTTATTCATAATTCCAATCACCAAATTAATATTATCCCTTTGCTTTTGTTTTTGCTGACTTAACAATCTAGTCTCAAATCAAAAACGTAAACTAAAGACTATAATTTTTATTTTTTTAATCTGAAAATTAACTTTAAAGGAAGGGAGTATGCATAAAATTAAGTTTAAAGTTTTTAAAAAATGTGTATTTATTGGGAATGGTGTTTGTTGTTTTTTTAATTTTCTATCTTCATCCTGTTTGTCCTTTGTTTTCTGTTTCACCAGTCTTGCTTTGTTTGTCTTGCTGTTGTCTTTTCAAAGTCCTTATTCTCCACCCTACCTTCTGCTTTCATTCTGCTCATTAGTTATCATTTCACCTGTCATTATCCAGTCCTACCTTTGCTCCTTATGGTTCACAGGTGTGCTCAGATAGACCTCTGGTCCAGGCTGTCGCACCTGGTGAAGCAGCTATTTGATTTCTGACTTTAATTTTTGTGCCTGCCATGGTTAAGTACTTTTTTCTTAAGTATGCCAGGGCTGTTCTAGTAAATAAGAGAACTGTTACTGATGGTAGTTTTGTTTTTTAGGTGAGCATACTTGATTCAGAGGAGGTGTGTGTGGAGCTTCTAAAGGAGTATACATCTCAAGAATATGTGAAAGAAGTTCTTCAAATATCTAGTGATGGAAATACGGTAATGTGGATCTACTTCATTATCTTGCAGCTTCAATCATCACCTAAGTATTTAGCATTCCAATTCATTCTACAATGATACCCTTAAAAAAGTTTTTTAAATCGGTTCTCCTGATACGATATTATCTCTGGAATTCAAAAACTTAAATAACATATTAAACATATTTAAATTAGTGTAGTTTTAAAAATAGTAACTAGTAACAATCTAAACTTTTGGCTTATGTTTAAAATGACTAAAAAATTACTTTTATGAATATGCAATATTTTTTAATAAAATAATATTCAATATTACACTTAAACTTCATATTTTTTAATAATGAAACATAGTGTTCTAACTTAATGGTGTATAATTAGAGTTCTTAAATTTTTTTCGGGCAGATCACTGTTTATTATCCACAGGATGGAAGAGGTTTTCCTCTTGCTGATAGACCACCCTCACCTACTGATAACGTCAGTAGGTACAGCTTTGACAATTTGCCAGGTATGTAAGCTTTCCAGGGAATAAATTTAGATAAGGCACTTTTATAGACATAAGCTGTGTATACATGAATATGATAGGTTGTAAATGTCTTGGCTTCGTTCAGGCTGCAGGTCATATTCAGGTACTTTATGTCTGATAAGATGTGGTGTACTGTATTAATCCAGTGTTTATCATTCATATTTTGTGTTGTGATGATACTTCCACTAATTCAAGTAAAAACTAACTCTTAAAATATTGATCATATAGCACAGATATAATTTGTGTACTTGTGTAATTACTAATTTTAACCATGCTAAAATATTTAACATGAAGTATCTAGTTTTTGACTTTTGCAATCATTGCTGTGCTGCCTAAACGATCATTTGTAATGTGGTTAACCAGATTTGACTCAGTTTTTAACTCAGTTTTATGGATTGGGGAAATAAGTACTGAATAATAAGACTTCTCTGAGGTAAATTACAGAAATAAACAAAAAAGTATCTGATCTAACCCTGTTAGAAATCAAATCTGTTAGATAAGAATATTAAATACTGTAAATGATCATAGTTACAGGGAACAGCAACATTTATTTTTGTATATTAGGACTATAAAACTCTATGCTTTACTAACATAAAAAGAGCTGCTTTTCTTTTCCTAAAAGTCATTTGGTTCTGAAAAGGTAGAAATCTTTTCAGTAAAGATCTATTAAAACTTCCCTGGAATCATTACCTTACTTATAGATACAGTCAGTGATTCAAAGAAGGAGATTTTTAAAATAATCATGATACTAGTCATTGGATGTTTTTAATAATATATTTCTTGGGATTTTATTATGCTGTCTTTAGTTTTCATCGAAATGAATAGACGTGTCTCCAAAATATTTTTATTTTGGTAATGGGATTACAAACCTATGAATTTGAATGTTTGAGGACAAGTAGAAATAAATATTAAACTTTTATGGAATGTATACGTGAAGTCAACAATTTCTTCCTTATATTAGCTAACAGATATGTATATATTTTGTATTTGTCCCTCTAGAAAAATACTGGAAAAAATATCAGTATGCTTCCAGATTTGTACAGCTTGTAAGATCTAAATCTCCCAAAATCACTTACTTCACAAAATATGCTAAATGCATTTTGATGGAGAATTCCCCTGGTGCTGATTTTGAGGTTTGGTTTTATGATGGTATGTACCATCTAGGAGTGGTATTTTTTTTTTCTCTTTAGTTTGTAATTTAGTAGTTGTGTTTTATTTTTTTAATTTAACGTAGCAAGTCTGTAATATAAGTAACTTTACATATTATGTAGTATAGTATACTATTTATCAAATCATATTAACTAAAATTTGTATATTATATATATTTTCCTGAAAACAATTTATCCTATAGTATGTATATTAGTCCTTTTTCCCAATTTGGCTCCAGTTTAATAGCATCCAGATTGATTGTATAAAATCACACGAAATAAATAATATCCTACTTCTTATTTGAAACTCAAATGGACATAGGCCAAGCTACGAAAATTATAAATGTGGCAAAAGAATAAGATTAACCTTATTTTCTAAATGTATTCTATACAAATGATTAACGTTTTAATCTGTAAAGCTTCCTACTTTAAGGAACACAGCACACACAGTGCACGTATCACTTAAAGCTATTGTTTTGTTTTTTTATGAGAGCAGTGATTTTTTTTAAATGTCATAAAAAGTGTCATACTAATGCCAGATATATGTAGGAAAGAAAAATGGATGGCCTATATTTATTGAATACTTCGAGAAGCTTATTTTATTATTAGTCAATAAATGAATATAAATGGTACCTTCATCTAGGAGCCATAATGGTATGATAATGAATATAAATACAGGAATATTTAAAGAAATGATAAAAGAATAGTTTCCTGCTTATGTTTTAGGAGCAAAAATACACAAAACAGAAGATTTAATTCACGTGATTGAAAAGACTGGGAAATCTTACACCTTAAAAGGTGAAAGTGAAGTTAATAGCTTGAAAGAGAAAATCAAAGTGTATATGGACCATGCTAATGAGGTACGTTATCTACATGTAGTATATTTTTTCATACAGATTAATAGTGATTTTAAATGACACAGGTGAAATAATGATGGAAAGCACTCTTCTTTTGAAATAGGGGCATCGTATCTGTTTAGCACTGGAATCTGTAATTTCAGAAGAGGAAAATAAAAGTGGAAGTGCTCCCTTTTTCCCAATAATTATAGGAAGGTAAATGTTTGAAAAATTTTTAAAATATGGCTGAATTTTTTAGGATATGTTAAAAAAAGACTTGCTGTTTTTTGTTGTAAATTTTTTTTAGTTTTCTGTGAATTGATAACTTCAAGGGACATATTTGAACATTTCTTTCTCCTTCAGAAAACCTGGCAGTACTAGTTCACCTAAGTGCTTATCACCTTCTCCTGTGGATCCAGATTACCCAGTCAGAGATACACCATCTTTGAATACAATGATCATGAATAGTGCTACTTCTCTAAAACAGGCACCAATACTTAATCCTTCTGTAAGTAAATATATGAAACTTTTGTACTGTAAACCTTCAATGATTGCCTAATGCCCTTGATATGAAATTAAAACTCCTTACTACGACCTTACTGTTACCTACCTACTTTTCCAGCCTCATCCTGAGCCACTTTACCCCACACTTTCTATACTTGCACTTCAAAGGCCTTCTTTTAATTCTTTGAACCAGGGCTTCGAACAGGTTCTGCCCAGTTCAGTCATGGCCGAGGAAGTGTCACTGGAACAGACTTGAATTCTTAAAGTTAGGTGAACTGGAAAGATAGCCAGGATGGGAAAAATTACGGCTGGAAACCCTGCTAGAAGCTTAATCTCCCTCTTAAAGAACAAGGGGGGTCCTGGTGGCGCAGTGATTAAGCATTTGGCTGCTAACCAAAAGGTCAGCAGTTCATATCCACCAGCCACTACTTGGAAACCCTAGGGGGCAGTTCTACTGTGTCCTATTTGGTCACTATGAGTCAGAATCAACTTGATGGCAATGGGTTTGTTTTTGGTTTTTTAGAGAACATGGACAGCGTATGCACTGCATAGCAACCAAATCTCTTCCCTGCAAATTCTGAACACAGTCCAAAGCAGCACTGCCCAGCTCAAAGATGGCGGCTCCCCACTCAAAGATGGTGGCCAGGCGGGCCACTTTGAATGTGTGTCACTCTACAGTCCTACTAATAATCCAGTCTCATGCATCAGGCTCCTGAAGGGGTTCACTACGCCTCTTCTGAGTCTCCCATTCCAGGGCTTCAACCCATAATTTTTCCCCTTCTGGGTGCCATGCCGAATCTGCCAAATTGTAAAACTTCCGGTCTGTTCCAGTTTTGCTTTGTGGGCCATAACTGAACCAGTTCAAAGCCCTGCTTTGAACATGTCAAACTCTGTCTTTTCACGTGCTATACACTTGTCCTGGAACCCTTTTACCCAATTTGTTAACTTCATATGACTTATTCTTTCTCATCCTTCAGGCCTCTGGTTTTATTTATTTACTTAATAATACGTTATTATGTTTTTGATGAAAATTTACACAGCAGATTAGGTTCCCATTTGACAGTTTCTCACAAATTGTTCAGTGCTTTTAGTTACATTTTTCACAGGGTATCAACATTCTCTTTAATTGTGTTCTGGTTGTTCCATTTCCAGTGCTCTGTAGTTTCCCTGCCACCTTAGCTTCTCATCTTTGCTTTAGAGTAATTGTTGACCTTTTTCTCTCATATAGATGGTTGTTTAATGAAGCACCATACTCAGGGTAATATCCGTTATTTTATGTGTCAATCTGTTATTTTGCTAAAAGATACCCTCAGGGATAGTTTTGGTTCATAGTTTTAAGAGTATCTCCAGGCAGTAGTCTCAAGGAGTTCTCTAGTCTCAACTGGTCCACTAAGTGGACTTTTTAAGAATTTGACTTCTGTTCTGCATTTTTCTCCCGTTCTATCAGGGTCCATCGATTGTCGCCCTGATTAGAATGGTCAGTAGTGGTAGCCGGGAACCATCTAGTTCTTCTGGTCTCAGGGTAGATGTTCAGATCTCAGTTTAAATGTTATTTCATTGACACCTAACCCTTTGGGAGAAAACTAAATATATTGTTTTAACTAGTAAGCATCATAAACTTTGTAAATATCTGTTATAGACACATGGTTAAATAAACTGTTTATATTTTTACTGAAAGAACTCATGGTAGTGATGGCTAATGAAGACTATTTAGCAATATAGAAAAATGTAACTTTAAAGAAATAGATGTGTGTGTGTATTCACACACATACATACGTACTGCGATTGCAGCTATGAAAAAACTATGCCTTGGGGGAAAAAGATGAAAGAAATAAAATGAAAACTGATTGTGTGATTCTGTTTTTCTTTTCTTTATTTTTCTGGTTTTCAATAATGTGGTTATATTTTACATTTAAAATTTTTGTTTTAAAAAAATACTCCTTAAGCTAATGAAAATTGTTTTCTACTTTTGCTGAAGTTGGTTTATAAAAATGCTGAGGATTAATTTCTTTCTATCCTTTACTATTTGTAGATGGTTACAAATGAAGAACTTGGCCTTACAGCTACAGCTTCTAGAACAAACATCTCTTCCAGTAGCCTAAAAGATTGTCTTCCTCAATCGGCACAGCTTTTGAAATCTGTTTTTGTGAAAAATGTTGGTTGGGCTACACAGGTGAGAAGTTTCTAGGAAAGTGAATTTTCTCATTATGAATTTCTTTTGTTTTCCACAGTAATTAGACAATTACCAAAAAATAGAAATTGTTTTCAAAATTTCTATTTACAAGAAAATGTTTACACCATTGTTTATATTGGTTATATCATTAAACATTTTAACGTATTTTTTTTTACACACTTGGAAAATTCTAGATATTGGTGATAACAGATTGCTTGATAGGGCTTAAACCAATACCAACCCCATTGCCTTCAAGTCGATTCTGGATCATAGCAACCCTGTAGGACAGAATAGAACTGCCCTATAGGCATTCCAAGGCTGTAATGTTTACAGAAGCAGACCGGCTACATCTTTCTCCCACAGAACGGCTTGTGGGTTCAAACTGCCCACCTTTAGGTTAGCAGCTGAGCACTTAGCCACTGTACCACCAGGGCTTCTCTGATAGGGCTTAGATGTCCTCATTTTGTGATTTTTGTTGTTTAAAGTCCAGGTCATAATAATGGCTAATTGTAACGAATGGAGAACAATGTCAGGCACATTTTAAGTTTAAAAAACTACTTATAATACATATTACTAGAGTAACTTATTTTGGTAGGAAAGGATTTGTTATATTTACAAGTTAAGACCACCTCAAGTTTGAAACTTACAGAATTGTATGTAGATGTGAATACATACCATGTTTTTCACATACATTGTCTCATTTATTCCCCCAAATAACAGTAAAGTTGATGCTGTTTTCTTTAATACGGCTCATAATAGTTGATTGACTTGCACAACCCTACAGTCTGGTCAATTGGCAGTCTGAATGTAAACCCGAGTCTGCTGATTCCAGTGTCCATGTGTTTTTCACTGTACTGTGCCTCCTTGTTTTGAATGACACATTCTAAATATCAGCGTTAAGGGAACCAGTTTCAAAGGCTAAGATGTAAAGTTCTCAGGTTTGGGAGAAATTCTGTAGTCTAAGGATGGAGAACAGAGTGAAATCCTGTTTGAAGAAGGTGTTGCTGTTATTTCCTAAATCTCTTCTTGGCAAGAAGTAGTATGGGAAAAAACTAAAAGATGAGTCAGATGTCCTAATGGAAATTAATGGGAAACAGGATTCACTCAGAAGATTTTTAATATTATAGTGCGCTAGCTATTAAATGAATAATCTGAAAAAGAATATGAATATTCTAAATGCTACTAATCATCATAGCCCCAAATTTGTAGCCACCTGAGAAGGGTTTTTTTTTTAAACTATGTTAAACAAGGGTACCTTTTAAGAACCTGAAATCCTCTACTGTGATTTTGCATGCATATTATTATATAGCAATTTTGCATACTTAATTTTACATTCTTATTCTTCTTCTAGTTAACTAGTGGAGCGGTGTGGGTTCAGTTTAATGATGGATCCCAGTTGGTTGTGCGGGCAGGAGTGTCTTCTATCAGTTATACATCACCAAATGGGCAAACAACTAGGTGAGTCCTTAAAATGCTGGTGAGATTCGGTCCTTTGGTATAATTTTGTTTTCTATATATGTTGAAATAAATGATTTAATAAAGTTACTGTTTTCATTCTGACAATGTTCATATTATTCTTCATGTAGTTATTTTTATCAGCTTATGTAGTCTTTTTTTAATGTATATTTTGACTATCTACATTCATGCAGGGTCAGTGGTATGGCTCATCCATTCCAAGTGGCTAGATTGCATGTAGTCTTATCACTCCATAGCCTAAATAGACTGGGGATATGACCCCTTTACCAAGGTGATGGACTTCTAAGTTCAAAGTAATATGCCTAAAAGGTTTACTTAAAAGAACTTAGAAATGAGGAATCTTTGTTTTCAGAGGTAACCTGATTATTTTCCCAAATAACAGACTATATCCCCTGATCTAATATAAAGTGATTAATGTTTGAAAGACTTTTTTGAATGTACATATTCATTGTATATGAAAATGTGTGCCAGGCACCATGCTAAACATGAGGAACCTGGCAACAGGAATAAACAGTAGTTTGGTTTCCAAATTTGAGTCCATAACTTTGTAAGAGAAGTAGAATGCTGATGATAGCAAGACCAGCATGCTACTTGGTGAGAAGTGCTCACTGTAGAGGAAACGCTTGGCAGATCGAATTTGTGGGTAGCTAGAAATTGCTTCTTTTGTTAAATATGTATATATGCAGTGCAATTACTTAAAGAACTGTTCTTCTAGTGAGAGGCTTTGTTAAAAGCTCTTTTAAGTGCTCCACAAAATGGAAGGATGCAAATGTAAAATGAGTAGAACTCGTGTTCTGAGGATAAATGTTCAAATTTTATTTGGCCTGGTCGTTTGAAAATTGTTAACATTTTAATAAAAATGTATTCACAATATGTTTAGCTTAGTATTTTCTTTAGAATTAGGGCCTTTGATTTAATGAGGAATCTAGATTTTCAGCTTTACGTAGAAATTATAAAGCCAGTTCAAGTTTTTATATATAATTTTATTTTTATTATTTAAATGCATTTAGAAATGTGTCTATTTTAACAGGAAACAAGTTGGGTATGCTTAATTTGATTTAGATGTCTATTCTAGTAATTTTGTTTAATTTTTCTGAAGTATCTCTTGTCATTGAAGAATTACTGAAAAGTATGATGTACCGTTTGGTACTCTCGTAAGAACCAAGTGATTAAGTTGTTTATGGATTTTTCTTTTGCTTCACTTAGGTACGGAGAAAATGAAAAATTACCAGAATACATCAAACAGAAATTACAATGTCTGTCTTCCATTCTTCTGATGTTTTCTAATCCAACTCCTAGTTTTTGTTGATTAAAACTCCATTTAGATATATATGTTTAATAAATAACTTTATTGGCTTTCAAGTAAAGTGACTTTTTATTTAATAACTGCTTCAGAAAGCCTTTCTATGAAAAAGAATTTTAATCTGTACCATAATAGATGTATTTAAACCAGAGAACAAAACAGAATGAAACCTGAGTCACTTATAAAATGTAGTGGTCACAGAGTAAAATAGATTGGAAACCTAACTTTGCTCTTAGAACATGCCCCCAAACTTATGTTCATATATTTGTATTGACCAGTCTTTTAAATGCAAAATATAAATGATGTGTGGTATATCTGTGGTTTTATGGTTTTCCCTACTTCTCAGACATGTTGAGAATCATGGACAAAACATGCTGGAGTTTTTGAATTTTTGAACATGTAAAATATGTATTTATGTTACAAGTAACATATGTAAAAATGTATATTTGTTTTATATTTATTTTTGTAGCACAAGTTTTTCATGACATACTTCTGCAAATGCATTTTATAAAAAAAAATAAATGCAGTGATAAGTTACTTTATCTTTTGGTTTATTTAATTAATTCCTTTTTAAAGTAAGTCCCTAATAAACTCATTTTTATATTTTACTGCCTGTGTGTATAGGAGGACAAATTAAATTTTAAAATTTAAATTTGCAAATGGTAAATACATTGTTTTTCTGCCCTTATCTGGAAATATCTATATATTTAATGATACTTACACATTTTAGCAGTGAAGAGCTTAACAATGCAGTTAATTAACATGAAGAAAAAGAAATATTTGATAGTAGGGCAGCCATTCCTAATAAAAAACTCTAATAGGAATAGAATGAAACTACTTAAATATGTTAAAGACTGTTTTATGTTTTCTACTGATTTTTATAATCGGGAATATTGAAGCTGTTTCTATTAAGTTTCTATTAATACTCAGTGTCACAATTATTCAACATTGTTTTGGAGGCTTTTGCCTAAGGCAATGAGAAGAAAAATTACTATATTTGCAACATAAATTGCAGAATTAATGTTAAATTTTAAAAGAACAAACAACCCAATAGAAAAATAGATAAAAGATATGAAGAGGTTATTCACAAGGGAGGAAATCTGTATGGTCAATAAAAAAGAAATATGCTCAACCTCATTACTAGTTGGGGAAATGCAAAATTAAAACGAGAATAATTTTCCTTTATTAAAGAGATTAATAATAATAGTGCCCACAAAGATGCAGAATATTCTCAAGTACTGTTGATTAGAATGTAAATGGTAATTGTGAAAGTAATTTCACAGTATCTATTTGAATAACACATTTTAACACATCAGTGATCTAACTCAGTGTTCCTGTAAACAACACACTCAACTGCTAACCCAGCTGCAAGATTGGAGGTTCAAGTCCACCCTGAGGCACCTGGGAAGAAAGGCCTGGTGGCGCAGTGGTTAAAGAGTTTGGCTGCTAACCAAGAGGTTAGCAGTTTGAATCCACCAGCGGCTCCTTGGAAACCCTATGGGGCAGTTCTGTTCTGTCCTATAGAGTTGCTATGAGTCAAAATTGACTCAAAGGCAACAGGCTTGTTTTGTTTCGTTTTATATCTATGTACGTATATAAAACAGAAATCTGTCTGCAATTTATGGACTGGGCGATAACCACAGAGCTGAGCATGTGGGTACCATTCTGAAAGCAGGGATTACATGACTGTACACAGTGAATGCTAAATACAGAGACACCCCACCTCTATTCCCCAACCTCCTCCTACATAGCTCCCAGACTCAGGCATCCACACTTTGCCCTTCCAGACAGGAGATTGGAGACTCTTATCTGAAGAATCTGCCCAGCCCAATAGGAAAGACCTAAAGTTACTGATGGGGGGGGTTCCCCAACAAATGGCCTTCCCAGATCATACTACAAGGATATTTAAAGTGAGCTAGCCCTACTCAATTAGCTTTTTACTCCCTTATTTCTAAAAACTTTTTCTTATGGAAAGTTTCATATAAATACAAATAGATTAGTATAATGAGCCCCCGTGTACCCATCATCTAGCTTCAGCTGTTATCAGCACATGGCAAATCTTCTGTCAATTATACTGCTTTTTATTCTCTTCCAGTTAAATTATTTTAAAGCAAATCCCAGCAATCATATTATTGTATCTGTAAATACCATTTTAATAAACATAATGATACAAAATCATTATTGTACCAAGAGGAAAGATTTAATGTTTTTCTTTTATTTTTTTTATTGTGCTTTAGATGAAGGTTTACAGAATAGTTTCTCATTAAACAGTCAGTACACGTGTTGTTTTATGACACTGGTTAATAACCCCACAACATGTCAACACTCTCCCTTCTCGACCTTGAGGAACTTTTTTTGGGTGAAAATATGCATAGCCAAAGTTACACCACTACAAAAGTTTCTACATGTACAATTCAGTGACATCGATTACATTCTTCCACTTGTGCTGCTATTCTCACTATTCTTTTCCAAATTATTCCATCACCATTATCTTCAACTCACTGTCCCCTAGGCTTCCCATCAAACCTTTTGAGTTCCTATTGTCAATTTGATCTCACACAGAGAATTCTTTTTTTTTTTTTTTTTGTACCTTAGATGAAGGTTTGCAGAACAAATAGTTTCTCATTAAGCAGTTAGTACACATATTACCCTATGACAATGGTTAACAACCCCATGACATGTCAACACTGTCCCTTCTCTATCTTGGATTCCCTGTAACCAGCTTTCCTGTCCCCTCCTGCCTTCTAGTCCTTGTCCCTGGACTGCTGTGCCTCATTAGTCCTGTTCTGTTTTATGAGACTGTCCAATCCCCAGCTGAACAGTGAACTTCAGGAGGGGCTTCACCACCGAGCTAAAACGGTGTCCGGGGGCTATAGTCTCAGGGTTTTCCGGTCTGTCAGGCCAGTAAATCTGGTCTTTTTTTGTGAGTTAGAATTCTGTTCTACATCCTTTTCCAGCTCTGTCCAGGACCCTCTTCTGTGATCCTGGTCAGAGCAGTCAATGGTGGTAGCCGGGCACTATCTAGCTGTACTGGACTCAGTCTGGTGGAGGCCGTGGTAGCTGTTGTCCATTAGTCCTTTGGACTAATCTTTTCCTTGTGTCTTGTTCTCTTCATTCTCCTTTCCTCCCAAAGGGGTGAGGCTAGGGGAGTATCTTAGATAGCTGCTTACAGGCTTTTAAGACCCCAGACGCTACTCACCAAGGTAGAATGTAAAACATTGTCTTCACAAACTGTGTTATGCCAATTGAGCTAGATGTTCCCTGAGACCATGGTCCCCACAGCCCTCCACCCAGCAATTCAGTCCCTCAGGGAGTTTAGAAGTGTCTATGGAGCTTCCATGACCTTTCCTTGTACAAGTTGTGCTGGTTTCCCCAGTAATGTGTATTGTCTTACCCTTCACCAAAGTTACCACTTATCTGTTTAGTACCCCTCCCATCCCTCGTAACCAACAAAGATTGTTTCTTTTTGTGTGTAAACTTTTACATGAGTTATATAGTAGAGGTCTCATACCATATTTGTCCTTTTGTGATTGACTTATAGCATAATGTCCTCCAGTTTCATCCACGTTATGAGATGCTTCACAGATTCATCATTGTTCTTTATCTTTGTATAATACTCCGTTGTATGTATGTACCATAGTTTATCTATTCATCTGTTGATGGGCATCGAGGTTGTTTCCATCTTTTTGCTATTGTGAACAGTGCTTCAATGAATATGGGTGTGCATACGTCTATTAGTGTGACGGCTCTTATTTCTCTAGGATATATTCCTAGGAGTGGGATTGCGTCTCATAGCGCCTTTTTTTGTGATGCTGACGTTTTCTTTGTTCCTCTTATTCTCCTGTGCTGTGTTCCTTTTGTTTGTGGATTTCTTTTCATTTCTTTTGTTTTTGTAGGTTTTGTTTTTACTGAGACTTTGTTTTTCTTCTTTATTTTGATGAGTAGGTTTGTTAACTTTCTTTGCGGTTACCTTGAAATTTACCCTTATCTTCCTAGATTTGTACCGGTCTATTATTACTTGGTATCGCTTGACTTCCTCTCCATTAGAAGGTTCTATCCCTACACCATTTATTCCCTCTTTTATTGTTCTGATGCTGTTGTCATTTACAGGTTAACGTCTCTGGTTCCCTTTTGTAATTCTTTTGGTTTTGCATAGCTCTTAAGAGTTCATTTCCTAGGTTGGTATCTGGCTAGTACAACCCTGTGTCCTATATTCAGCCTGTGGTCTGATATTGTTTGTTCTCAGATCGAAGGACTCCCTTTAATAAAGTCTTGTAAATTTGTTTGGTTTTTACATAGTCCCTCAATTTCTGTTTATCTGGAAATGACCTAATTTCATCATCATATTTGAATGAGAGTTTTGCAGGATACATTATTCTTGGCTGGCAATTGTTTTCTTTCAAGGTATTATATATGTCATCCCATTGCCTTCTTGCCTACATGGTTTCTGCCAAATAATCCAAGCTTGTTTCTCCTCTGTATGTGACTTTTTGTTTTTTGTTTTTCTCAAGCTGCTCTCAGGATTCTTTGTTTGTCTTTGGTTTTAGCGAGTGTGATTATGATATACCTTGGAGATTTTCTTTTGGGGGTCTATCCTATATGGGGTTCGTTGAGCTTCTTGAATGGTCAGCTTTTCATCTTTCATGATATTGGGGAAGTTTTCTGTCAGCAGTTCTTCAATGATCCTGTGTTTTCTGTTTTCTCCCCCTGTTCTGGAACTCCGATCACTTGCAGATTTTTGCTTTTGATTGTATCCCAGATAATTCTCAGGGTTTCTTCATTTTTCTTTGTTGTTTTTTCTGATTTTTCCTCAAACAGAGTTGTATCCAAGTGTTTTTCTTCAGTTTCTCTGATCCTATCTTCCATCATTTCAAACCAGCTCCTCAGCCCTTCTATGACACTGTCCATTTCTGAAATCCTGTTGTTTATCTTTTGGATTTCTAATTGTTGTTTTTGTATGATTTCTGGTTGTGAATTTATTTTAGCATTTTGTTCCTGTATTATTTTCTTGAATTCTTCCATTTTTTTGTCTGCATTTCCCATGAATTTGTCTGCCTTTTCCATGAATTTGTCTATTTTTTCCTCATTTTTGTCTTTTTTGCTTCAACTCTTGGATAATTCTGAATATTAGAGACTTGAATTCCCTATCAGTTAGGTCTAGTGCCTTTTCTTCTACTGGAAGGTCATCTGGTGTTTTATTTTGGACACCTACTGGAGCCATCCTGTCCTGTTTTTGTAAATGTTTTGATATTGTCTGCTGTCTTTGGGGCATTCAGTGGTTATTTTCCTTGTTTGTTGATTGTAGATTTGTTTGTTTCATCCTGCTTTTTTGTTTTATTTGGTTATGTCTGAGCAGGCGGGCGGTGTGTTCTTTGTTGTTTGCTCATCTGTGGGCGTGATACTTTTCACCTCCTTCTCCAATGGGCAGGGTCAGTCATTCAGGTATGGTACAGCAGGGCAGGTCCAGCTGAAGCGGAGTTGCTGGGATGGGTTGTTTGTGGCACATACCAGGGTTGACAGTGTGGACTGGGAATCAGTGCAGGGCAGTTTCCAGTAGGCCATGCCTGTGCTGCTTGGGAGTGTGATGTTCAGCACACAGTGCAGGAAGGCAGGAAGGAGGGGGTAGATTGTGATGTGTGGAGCTAAGATGGGTATGGAAAAGACGAGAGAGAGGAGAGAGGAACAGGAGCCAAAAACATACACACAAACAAAAAAGAGTGCTAAG